CTAATTTTGCTACTCTATTGATTAAAATTTTATTTTTTTTCAATTTTTGATCAATGTTATTGGGTATTAATAATATCATTAATTATTTCAATAATAAATATTTTTACCTAAAAATATTCATTTAGTGTTAAAAATGCTACAATTATTATATTTATATTTATGTTTAAAATTTTTATCATATATTTTTATTTTTAGTTTGTACCCATTTTTAATTTGCAAACCTTTTTTAATTTGTATCAATTTTCTTTTTAGTTTTAATTTGTACTCATATATTAATTTCTTTTTGTGCCCATATTTTTTAAAGTTTTATTTGTATGTGTACTCATGTGTTTACCATCACGTGATATTGTATAATTAATCAATGATAAAAAAAATTACATATGATATATTTATGTTTTATGGCTAAACTTTGTATCATATATTTATATTTTTAGTTTGTACCCACTTTTAATTTGCAACCTTTTTTTTAAATTTGTAGTATTTTATTTTTAGTTTGAATTTGTACCCATGTATTAATTTATTTTTGTGCCCATATTTTTTAAAAATTTCATTAGTACTCATATTTTTTTAATCTTTTATTTGTACCTTAATTTATTTATAATGTACCCATTTCTTTATTAATGTACCACTTTATTATATGTGAAATGTACCAATTATTTTAACACCATGCATACATTCTTTTGCCATTTATTATTTCTTATTGTTACATAGTTTTTATCCATTTATTCAATTCAAATGTTTGAATTTTTTTATTGTAGCCATTTCTAATAGGATTATAATGAGGGATTTTAAATTTATAGGATTATAAATCTCATAAAATATCAAACAATTAATGTCAAAACTATAAAAATATAAATATAAATAGTAATATAATGAGGTGTACAAAGTCAAGGAACTTTGATCAAACTTTGAATACAATTAAGGTTTTAATCAAATAATGTTAGAGACTAAAGACCGCATCCAAAGTATACCCTTTGATTTATCTCTCAAATTTACATAATCGGTTTCAATTCCATCACCTGTCTCTAAATACAAAAAGAATGAATTTATGAAGTACTCAAATAGGGTTTAGAACCACCCTTATTGCCACTCTACAGAACCATACATAGATTTTCACCTCATACATCTCCTCGTTTAATTCTTTTGAGGTCAATGAAACCTTTTCCTCTTTCGAGAATCTCTTTCTCCAATGTCTCTCCCGTGTGGCGAAGTGGGGGCATAAAAAAGGAAAGAGAGGGATGAGGTTTCTCTCGCTTTTGGCATAACGGCCCTTTGCGGAAGGCCTACACAGCGGGCTTACTGGATTAAAAGGATTAGTGCAGCGTTCATGGCAATATAACAACATTCCATTGGAAACCATAAAGAAGGATTTATTCAAGGGGAAAATGAGAGAGATTTTTGTTCCACCACAGAGAATTATCTTCTTTCTGCATTTAAAGAATTTACATGATATATCAGAACAATCATTTTTAGGATTTAACGATTCCTAATAGAATAAACTGCAACTGGGGGACTTATACTGATGCTTTTGGTTTTGAGCTGACAAGGTAAACAACTGGCTCCGAATTGGTTCTTAAACCACCTATGCCTCTATTGCCTCTGCTTCTTTAGTAGGCAATCAAAATATTTTCTATCCGTATTTTTACCCAATCATGGGTTATTATATTTTGATTGTCTCTGCTTCTTTAGTAAGCAATCAAAATATAATTACCCATGATTGGGTAAATTACATAAAACTACCTCAACTATTAGTTCAGTCACAGTTTCATACCCCATCTTTAAAAAAATTCAATGTCATACCTCATCTACGAATTTTTTACAAGTTCACACCTTCCATCAGTTTTCTGTCAATTTTTCTGTTAAATAGTGACGTGGCTTAAAAGATTAATAAAAAATTAAAAAATTAATTACATATTAAAAACTTTAAAAAAATTCATTTTTATTTATTTTTTGCATGGGGACCCACCTCGTACCATTTCTTCCCCCTCCATTTCCTCCCCTACTTTTCTCTCTCGCCGTGCCCAGAACCCCCTAACCCACCTGGGTTTTTTCATCCGCCATCCCCTTTCCTCATGTATTATTTATCCCTTTCTCCTTTTCACGCTGCAACAACAGCTTCGTCGGCCCCGACCTTAACCTTGGATCCCTTCACCATTTCATCACCTTCACCCCCTAACCCGACCTCGTCAACCCCGTCTACACCCTCCCTCACCAGATCCCACCCATCTCGTATCCTTTGCGCCGATCACTACCTCCCTCCCTCCCCCTCGTGCTGATTACCCACCACACCCGCGCCATGCCATCGCTCGACTCCCTCCCTCCCTCCCTCTGTCCACACCGCCATCAACCGACTCCCTATTTGATTTTGACTCCGCCTTTACCAAATCGGGTCAACCGACCCTCTCTCTGCTATATTACCACTTCTGCCATCTTCCCCTACCCCTCTAAACCCTTAAATCTCTCTGCTCCAGTACGACGCGGAGGATGCCATGGCGATGATTGCACAGGTGGCCGGGTACGAGAAAAGTAAGGAGAGTTTCAGAGGGTTTCCGAGGTAAAGGTTTTGGTGAATTTGTTGGATGTGGCGAAGAGTGGATGCGAAAGAGGGCGTTGAGGGAGGTGAGGGAGAAGTGGGTACGCTGAGGGATGTGCCAGAGAATGGCAGCAGGAAGTGGGATCTGGGTTTGGGATGGTATGGCAGCGAGGAGTGGGATATGGGTTTGGGATGGTATCTGGTTGACTTTGGGTTTGGGGAAGACGAGATAAGGAGGAAAGAGGGGGGATAAAGGGGGGTTATGGGTACGGCAAGATAGAGAAGTGGGGGAGGAAAGGGAGGGGGAAGAAAGGGTACTGGGGGTGGGTCCCCGTGCCAAAAAAAATTAAAAATGATTTTTTTTTTAGTTTTTTAATATTTAATTAATTTTTTTAAGCCACGTCACTCTTTAATGGAAAAATTGACAGAAAACTGACAGAAGGTATGAAATTGTAAAAAATTTGTAGTTGAGGTATGACATTGAAATTTTTTAAAGATAGGGTATGAAACTGTGACTGACCCAATAATTGAGGTAATTTTATATAATTTATCCTAAATGATTTTTGTTTATTTGTGTTGTAATTATAAAAAAAAACATCTTGGTTAGTTTTTACTTGTAATTCTTACCCTGAAAAGTTAGGGGCACTCCACGTCCTTGAACTAATAACCATTTTTCGGCTAACCTAACCTCCTTTGTCTCTCGGAATCAACAAGAAGTAGTACATGAATATTCACCTGTTGTCGAAGAAGAAGGTGCTCCAGTGGGATCCACACGGACAGAAACAATTAAGGTCCAGTAAAAGAGTGAGAAATAAACTTTGATTTTAAGATAGATCGATCCGACATGGTATCCATATTGTACAACTAGACATTGGTGATTAGAAAATACCTAAGGTTGTGATCTGAGTGTCCACCCACTGTACAGGAAAATGTATAGCCAAATTTTAGTTTTCAATTAGGGTAGCGATCGTAAAGGATCAAAGGGTCACAAGTGGGTTTGTTGTCCCGTCAATTTAATCTAATTTTGGTAACACTAGGAGTTTCAATAATTATACAAAAAAAAGAAAGATAGATGATGAGCACGTGGCAGCTGCTAGTCTCTGCTTCCTCCACTTTCCAAATTCTGGTGCAATCTCCACATGCACATGCAGGTATCCCAAAAAAATGTGTTATGAATGAAGCGAATCATGCGAAAACTACCTGTCATCGAAGCATATAAATCGACCTCTCACGGGCTCACACCATGCACACCTTTGCCAGGGTCGCAAGCAAAGGTAAGAGTGTAACTGTATAAGTAGCCAAGTAAGTCCATGATCGATCGAACCCCAAGTTGACTGTTTATAAATAGGGTTTGGTTCGCTGGAGGATATACAGCCACACTGTGCCATGGATTGAAATCCGATTATAATTACAAAGTGAAAAACCTTCCCACTCCACTTGTATCTAGTTTTACCGTCACCTCTCAAACGTTCTTTTTTCCAGAATATCTGAGACTGAGTGACATGAGTGACAACAACATATACTTAAAATATTGTTTATTTTTTTTGGAAACTTACTTGAATATTGTTAGACAATATAAATTTGAAATAACAATTAATCGTTGGAGTACTTTACATGGCTTGAGGAACTCTAGAAGTTATAGGATCTTATCGTTAGGTACATAAGTGTATGGTCAAAGATTCATGGATATTACCGTCAAGAGTTTAGAGTCGATTGGGGCAACTGTCAAATTACATAGATATTGTCTAAACTTAATAAACTACGTACACGTACAACTTGATAGGTGTTGATTTTTATCACAAATCCTCCATGTAAGTAGAAGTAATATTATAGCTCAGGCGGCTGCTTCCGTCTACTCTCCTTATGTCATTCGTTTACATCTTGATCTCGAAATGGATTCCTTTATAGTTTCCATCAATGATAAACTTGGCCTCTGATTGTGACTGTCTCTCTCCTATATTATACAACCGATTTTTTCTAGCAACTATTTCATAATTTTAGTAACGTAACTTAATCTACCATTACAATATGCCATGTTTTTTTAAAAAGTAATCCACGCATCCAATTAAAACTTGTGACTTGATGAAATAGTTGCCATAGAAAATTTCTCATATTATGTACCGTTTTTCATCTTCCAATAGTATGCAAGCACATGGTGTAAATTAGATATTTAATTTCCTAGGATGAATGCACATGAACATGGTGTAACTGTAACATAAGTAGCACCTGCGAGATCCTACGTTCCACTTTCCACTGTGGATTTATTCACAAAATCGGTTAGAGGATTCGATCATCTTTGGCTCCCACTGGAAATTCAATCTATACTAAAACTCAAAATCAACTGTGTTACTGTTCATAAGCACAGTGTGTTTCCCATTTTGCCCCTATCAATTTTATATTATTACTTCTCTTGCCACTGCCTCAGAAAATATATATACGCTTTATATTTTTTTTGTTCCTCCTTCTCTCTTCCCTCTTGCCGTTCTCCCCGTTTTCAACTAGCCTTCGAACGAAAAACCCAACTTTCACATGTTTTCTGGTGGTGGCCGGCCTGCAACCACAACTATTTAGTTCAGGACACTCCTAACAACATCATTCGAGCTTTGAATGCTCGAACCTACCCATTGATTGAAGAGTTCCATAAGCACAGCTTGCGGCGTTTTTTCCGACGAGAATCTGATTTTATTCTGGCCAATTTCAGGCCTTTCTGACCTTTTTGTGGGTCTGGGGAAGGTAATTACTCTACACCCTTGAATTAGCTAAGGTTGTGAGCCTCTGTTTTCTAGCAAATACCCCTTTTTCGCAATTCTTTTCTTCATTTTTGCATACCCATTTCTCAATTCAACTTTTTTGTTTGTTTTTGATGATTTTTTTTTTATCAATGTTGATTTTGAATTTCAGTTTGAAGTTCAATTTTTTTTTTCTGGGTAATGTTTCCAATTATTTTTGTAATCTTTATATTTTTCGATGGATTTTTTATGACTAAATTTTTTATCTTTTCGTTTTGCAGTGGGCACTGAAGTTGGGTGGATGAAATCTTTTTCCTCCTCAGATCACCACCACCCCCTGTTAGGTTTTTCTTTTTTATTTCTTTTCTTTCTTCTTCGTTTTCTCTCTTCACTCTCGCACTTCTCTCCGTGACTCTGCTAGCGATGACAACGAGTTGTTGCTGTCCGAACGCCTGTGAATTGGACCTCATTGTTACCGCTAGTCGTGTCCCGTTCATCTCAGGAACAAGAAACAGCTATTGCATGCCTCAAATCATTACTGTTTCGACGAGGGTTAACTTAACCCAATTTGTATTTTGATCTCTCTCTTTCTGCATTTTCGATAGGTTACAGTTTTTCAGGTTCTATTGAAAGCCATTGATTTTGCGTTAATTTGAGTCTTTGCGTTATGAATTCTGATATTTTGCGTTCAATTTGGGTTTTTGGAATTTCGAATTTGTACCCTTTGCTCTAATTAATTTTGATTTCGGCTGTTATTGTTGGGTCTGATTAAATTTCAAACCTTTCGTTTTCGTTCTCAAAGTTTTTCAGTTCTATCTATTAAATGTTTTCGTTCTCAAAATTTTTGAGTTCTATCTATTAAATATCAGTTAAAAGACCCGCATGTATTTACAGAAATCATGTACAATTATTATGTATTTCATTCTAATTTTTGTTTGATTTTTAACAGTGTTATTTCAAATATGCTATCAGCCAAGACAACATGATGGGACTAACGTATTTTCCGCTTCATTGATGCAGAGAGAAAACAGTGGAATGACGTTGATGTTCAACATCTTCGTTTGGAAAACAAGATTTTTCCCAATTTGATGTGGAATTAATGGGAGTTGGAGAAAACCAGTGAAGATCAAACTCTCTGAATTCTTCTCTTTGTTTCTAATTCTTATGAAGGACTTTGATATTCTGCATTTGGAACTTAGAATCAAGGTTCTAACTGGTTACCATATTTCAGCAGCCACTTTGCTCCAGATCTTTCCAGTTGAAATTCCTCTCCTTCACCCTTTGCATGTTGAATTTCACATCATCATCATCTCCCTGGAGTTTGGTTCATACTAAATTTAGATGGTTTCACTTCATGAAGGCTAACTGTTTATTTTAGGCCTGGAATATAATTTCTTGGAGAATGTACATTGTTGATGATAGTTTTTCGAACAATACTACCCCAAAAATTCTCCTCATGTTACCCTCAATGTAGGCATCGTATAACCATCATCCAAACTTCTCAACCATTTAAGGGGCTCATTCCAACCAATGTCATTTGGTTGTAGAACAGCTTTGCAACTTTTTTTTGATCTCTTATATTCTGATTAGCATTTTACTCTCTCTCTCTGTCTCTGTCTCTGTCTCTGTCTCTCTAATTTTCTATGCATATGAATTGTTTATTAAATATTTTTTTATTAATCACTACAGAGCACTTCTTTCTGATATTAGGTAATAAAACTACACAAGTTCTACCGTGAACATTACCATCCCGGCAACTCACAATTATGTAATACATTGTACGAACAAGTATCTTTTGTTCCTTATTGAATATAAAGATGTAAATAGACTTTATTCTATCCAGTACGTTGAACACAGTTTTAAGACCTGAGACATCGCGCGGGGGGCTCAGTCGCTTGTGTATAGCTATTTTAGCCATGCCCTAATCCCAATCATCCTTAAACTTTGTATTGTCAATCATTTCTTGCAAGTTGCAAATTAATCCCTATATAATTCACAATTTTCCTACTGATCTCCCTCTTCCCTAACATTTAAAATTTAACAATTTAAGTTTTTTTAAAAGAATTTTCTCACTTGTTAGTTGCTAATTAAAAGGGATTTAAAAGAGTAGTGTTTGGTCACATGTGAACTGGTTCATTCAATATTTAGTGAAAATATTTTTTATATTATGTTCATATTTGGTCAATAATTCATAATATTAGTTAAGTAACGATTAATTGACACATGGTACTGAATAATTACTGTTGTCCCTACTTAACCAAGATTTTAATTAGCAATTAATATTACAGTCTAATAATATTTTTTTCTCTAAAAAAGTTAATTGTTATCAAAATCGTCAATTTGTTTAACACATATGAATTACCTAAATAATTTTTTTTTACTCGAAAAAGGGACTAGCTAGTGACTTTGCCTCAACAATTCACTATTCCGGGGGCCGGAAGGATTTAAAGAGACATTTCAGCCTCCCCTAGCCAGCATCATGCGGTATACCTACTCTTACTTACCAGTCAACATGAACAAGAAAAGTTGGGGGAGGTGCGGGAATGAGGTTTACTATACAATGGCCCAACAAACGGAAAATGACAAGGGGCCTAAATTGTTGAAAGGCCCACATGCAAAACACATTATATTCAAAATCAAATGCTACAGAACCAAAGGGCCCAAAACTTGAGCGAGCATGAGAAAACGGTGAAGCGCCAAAATCTGGACTCAAGTACTTAAAACGGCAAATCGCGCACGTCTCGGGGACTGGTCGTTTAGAGTAGAGGAGGGCAACGTGGGTTCCGCAGTTGCTGCTCATTCCACACACTCCTTACAAAACCGTCTTAAAAAACCACCTCTCCCACCCCCCACTTCCCCTTCCTATATTATCAAATTGAAAATCTGCAAATGTAATGTAGTTTCTTTCCCGTTCGAACCCATCAGGTAAATGTAAAATACTTCAAGTTGATGTTTCTTCTGCAAGGCGATTTTCTATTCTAAACTACTCTAATTCGGGGGATGGGGGATTTAAACACGGGTGCAAAGGGACGGGATCACTAGCAAACTGACCTAACCACATATGCTTGAAGTTTAATTTTGAGAATGAAAATTGTGGCGTTGTTAGTAGCTACAAAAGGCGATTAGCATTAAATTTGCCTGATTTAAGTAACTCAAAATGCCACTGGTATTTCGGTCATTGTAAGAAAGTTGAATTATTCAACCTCTGTATTTATCATTTGTGTGACCATTTTTTTTTATTCTTTTCTGAATTTAAATGGAATTTTTCAGATTGTGCACTGTGCTAGAATTTTTCTTATGGAAATTGCCAAGTCGCTTTGAAATGGCTACAATCTTATGTTTTTTAAATTTTATTTTATATTATTATTTTTTCCAGTTGCTGAGGAGAAATGAGGGCGTGCGCCATGTTCTGTTCTAACTTGCAAGTACCTAAGTTTGGAGTTCAATCACCATCTCTTCGATTGGCATCTTTACGAAGAACACTAACAACAACAACCGCTTTAAGCAAATCACCTTCGAAATCCTTCAGAAGCATACAATACTCCGATGCTCAAGCAACGATTTTGAATTTCGGTATTTTGAAGGATCTTGTGAAAATATTTGTTCTAGACCTTGAAACCACCGGACTTTGCAGAAGGATAGGACATGTAACTGAAATCGCAGTCCGCGATCTTCAAGGCGGCAAGAACAGTTGCTTTCAAACCCTGGTGAACCCTCAACAAAATGTTCCAAATTCTAGCATCCACGGTATACCAACCAACATGGTGACACATTCAGATGTCCCGAGGTTTGTTTTTCTTTATACAAAAAGTGTCGATGCTATTAGTAGTTCCACCACTCATTATACGTTAGGTTACTTACGTGAGTTTTACATTCTTCGTCAGGAAGAGTTGGCATTAGGCAATAACTTAATTAGAATTTGTCGTGTAGGATGGTGGAGTTGATTCCGATTCTTCTCGAATACATCAGAAGCAGGCAAGGACCTGGAGTGCAAGTTTTATTTGCAGCTCACAATGCACGGCGTTTCGACGTGCCCTTCTTAATCAAGGAATTCAGCTCCTGCTCGTTTGAAATTCCTCCTGACTGGCTGTTTCTGGACACCCTCGCACTGTCGCATGAGTTGAGGAAATTATACGGTAAGAGCTTCACATAATGTGTAGACAAGTTGGCTAGAGCAATGCACCATCCTTCCGCACCTACGTTCGAAACCCCCCCCCTCCCTTAGTTTAGATTAGATAAATTAAAATACCGCTCAAACGCGGAAACAAACAGTGGGTTCTAATAATGCCATTGACAGGGCCAAAGGTTCCTCCAAAGATCTCTCTTGAGGGACTTAGTGAGTTCTACAAGATCACTAGAGAAGGTCCAAAACACAGGGCCATGGCAGATGTGAACTTGCTGACATCTATACTTCCAAACATGACTTCTGACCTCAACCTCGGCGTTGCGGACCTTTTGCAGAGGAGTTTCAAGGCTTCTGTCTGCAGTATTACCATGAAGAAGAAGAAAAAATGAAGAACTCAATCTGCAAGCATATGTTAATATACCATAGTTTTTTTTTTCCTGTTTTGTTTTGTTTTCCTTGTACAATTGTCATCGACCTTTTCCCCTGAAATATTATAGATGCACATGTGGTATGAAATGAATCACTAGTGCAGTTGATGTTTATAGTACAGGAATCACTCGTTAGAGTAGACAATTACAAACCCACAAGAAACACTTGCCGAAATATATATCAAAATATATGTTTAAGGAACTGTAAAAAGACAATTACTCCCAATTTATATCTTAATTTTCGAAAAACAACAAAAGGAGTCGTTTCACAATTGAATTCAAGTTGGATTAAACTAATGTAAGTCAATCCACAAAGAATTGTTTGTGAAGCAAAACAAATCTTATTTATGACATATTTAGGTATTTGAAGTCAAAGAAGTCATGAATCGATACAAGAAACAATAAGAATAAGAAAGTATGTGTAACAGATAAACAACCACTCTTAGATATCCATACCCAAGATTTTTAGGAATGCAATACCAAAATGATGTGAGAACCATTTACCTTCATGCATTAGTTGTTTTTTGTTTTGAGATGAAAAAGTATTTTGAATTAGTTGTTACTAAACACATAATATGATATGAAAGAAAATGATATCTACTCATTGTAATTCATTATTTGTAAGCACTGTTCTAAAAATCTCCGTCTAGTACCGTCTAAGCCCCGATTAGGCATTAGGCAGTTGACCATTGCCCCTATTAATCCTCAGATGTTTGAAAGTTAGGAAAGGGCACTTAGACTTGCTTAGGCACCCACTAGACTCGCCTACGTCATACTCTCACTTAGACAAAAAATAAATAATTTTCATTTTGCATTTTATTTTATCAATAAATTGTAAAAGATTTGTTGAATACTTAGATGACTACCCATTATATGCTTGTTCTCCATGTTTTCAATATGTTCTAATACTTTATAATATGCCATTCTATTTTACTATTTATTTATTCCAATACAATTATGTCTTTTTTTTTAAGCCTAAGCCCTCTACCCGTCGCCTGACTAGACAAAAATTAAAAAAAAAAATCATTTGATTCGTCCATCCTCCAAAAAAGAAATAAACAAAGTTCAGTTGTTGAGCGAAAAATGGGAAATTCGTGGAAAGTTACAATCCCCACCACGCAATAGTTCACCTACACGCCTTCATTGATGTTGTTTTTTGGCCGGAAGACTAGCGCCGAAGCGCATTTTAGAATCTTGTTTGTAAGTAAACATGCTTTTAAGGTTAGTATCTCATCCAAGATACCTATGCGCTAGACGCCTACACGCCTAAGGCCTCTCGACGCTTAAGCGGTAGACCCCTGTCTGTTGCCGGGCTAGTGTCTAACGCATTTTAGAACTTTATTTATAAATAAACATGCCTTTAAGGTTAGTATATATCATCCAAGTTACAATTTAACAGCACCAACAACGGCTGAGATTTATATATATTGTGATTGCTCGTAACCTATCCTGTTGGAGCCACCAAACCGCCCCCTCAAGTTTTAGGTCCAAACCGCCCCCGCAAGTTTTAGGTCCAAATTTATGAGACGTGCCAAAATTCCAAAACGTGGGCAAGAAGGCGGGCGAGACAACACGAAAAGTGAAAACCGCGTCAACTCACAAACAGTACCAAGTGGCTCACGAACTATAGGAGACCCAAAAAAAAAAAAAAAAAAAAAAAGAAGAAAAAGATAAACTACAAAACCACGGACTCGGCACGTGTGAATAGCAATTCACACACGTACTCAGTCCGATGAAATCCATGTACGCAGATTAATCAATTAATCCGAATTCTTAAAATTTGATCAAACGGTTAAAATTACTATAACTTTTAAAAGGATCCATTGTTTGAAATTATTGGATCAAATTTTAAGGACCCGGATTAATTGATTGGTGGGCTTTGGTGGGAGAGATCTGGAGGGAATCTCTTCCTTGCATGGCTCAGCTCAGGGAGAATATTTTTATTGTGAGCGGAACACGGGTGGTACACTATGTGTTTTTATATAAATGGTGGAAAGTTTTATTTTTCAAGTTATTAACTTTTTAACACATACATCTCATCATTTTTATAATGATAAGTGATGTACCATCCGTGTTCCGGTTACAAAAATCTCATCAGCTCGGGTAGCTGGCACTCCCCGAAATTCACCGGAACGCGCGAGGGTATTTCCGGCACGCGAGTACTATAAAAGGCGGTTAAACCCTCTCCGGAAGTTCGGTAGAGGGTCTCTGCTGTGTTCTCTCTCTCACACGCAATTTCTTGGTCGCTTCCTCACACACTCACACCACACACCCACTCTTTATCTATCGTCTCCATTTTTCTTTCTAGGGTTTCAAATTTCACAAATACGGACCCTCAAATTCCGATTGGAGCTCCGAATTCTTAGTCGCCGTGATTTGATTTTGTACTGCATAGAAAATGGACTCTGATAATTTGTGGAGCAGTCTCTTCTCGACCTCCTCGTCGAGGCGGTACCAATCGCGATCCGGTGAGTTTTCCCGACTGCCCCTGGCGGTGTTCATTGTTTGTTGTTAATTTTCTTGATTTTTTGTGGGTAGTTTTTGGTGCTGATGATTGCGGTTTGTGTCGTGCAGATCTGTTTTCGCACGAAGAGACTGACGGAGACGATGAGTTAAAGGCCGAGTTTTTGTGCCCTTTCTGCGCCGAGGATTTTGATGTCGTTGGGCTTTGCTGCCACATCGATGAGGAGCATCCGGTGGAGGCTAAGAACGGGGTATTTTGTTCGGTTTCACTTTTTTTAGTTTAATTTTGTAAGTTTTACAGTTCAATTAATTTGTTTCTAGCTTAACTAGAAAAGTGGTTGTTCGAAATGTGTGAAGATACGAACTTTCGAGATTTCATTAGTTTTTCCCTTGTAAATTTTAATGATTGCGTTTTGTTGGTAGTCTAGTTTTCGTTTCGGCTTAGAAAGCAACAATTTTTGTTGTGTTTAGTTTCACTTGTCTTGTAATTTAGGAAGAAGCTGTATGAGTCTGTATAGAGTGAGTTAACGTTTGGGGCGGAAATGTTTCACTGTCAAGGCATACAAAATGATGCTAGCAGTTTACTTGGTTTTCTCTTGGGGTTTGGCTGTGATTGTGAAAGGGTTTTTTTTGTCGAGTAGGACTTCCATTTGAGTAGGGTTGAGTTGCAAATTAGTGGGTTACGTTGAGGGGTGATTCATGTAGTATATGATGGTGTAGAGAGGGGATGGTTTTCATTTAGACAGTTGATCATCTTAGTACGACATTTTTTCTTCAAGCTTTAATAGACCGACAATATTGGTATTCTTCCTTGCTAGTTTTGTGTGGGGTGTTGAAGACTGCTATCGGGCCCCTGTTCATTGAGTGTCTTTATGATGGGTTTGAGCCAACCTCGTGGTTACTTTCTTTGTTGATATACAGATATGTAACTTTCAGGTCTACATGGTGTTTTAATTAATAGGGAAGGAATGTTTCTCTTGGGATGTTCCCTTTTTCTTGGATTTCTATGAAACCAAATGGTCATTTCCTTTCCTTTTTCCAGGTCTGTCCTGTTTGTGCGAAAAGGGTGGGAGCAAACCTTGTGAGCCATATTACTACACAACACGGGAGTTTGTTAAAGATATCCTTTCATCTGGATTTCTGTGTTTGTTTTGGTTATGATTTACATGCATGCTCATTGTGCCATTAAAGTTGGTTCGCTAATGTAAGGATGATTTTTATCGTTTAGGTAGTTGGTTAAAGCCATCTAAATAGCGGTGTGACAGGAATCATGTGTCTAGATAAAACCTTTATCTTCACTGGTATTTCAATTTCAGCAAAATTATGTTCAGATATCTAATTCACTCTCGCATATCTTAATCTGTCTGGCCAGCAAGCAGACTAGTTATTATAATGTGATTGATTATAACCATGACCTTGTTCCCTTTGTTGACACTTCCTGTATTTCCACCAGTCACTTTACTCTGCTACCATGGTATTTTTCTTGCATAAAAACTTTGATAACTTTCCCTTCCATGTTTATTTTTGGTTTGGCATGTATATTTTTTAGTCCAGAGTGAGTGTCATGTGCTCCTTGACTATACATTACGTTCAGCGCAAGAGGAAATTTCGCAGGGGATCTAGTTCAACATTTTCTATGTTAAGGAAAGAGCTGCGAGAAGGAAGTTTACAATCCCTTCTAGGAGGGTCTTCATTCCTTTCCTCAAACACTGAAGCTGATCCTTTGTTGTCTTCTTTTATATTTAACCCTCCCACTGCTGATGAGGATGTGAGTACAAAGCCGCATCCTTTAGTTGAACCATCTTTTGTAAAGGAGAGCACAAAGGAAGAGGTCTCAGAAAGGTATGAGCGTCATCACCACTTTACAACTTTTAGCTTTTTCTTTCCGTTTTATGTTTTTGGTGGCTGAGTAATAAATTAGAGTCCTCATATCTTGAATTTTTTTAGGTATGTAGAACAATAGATGTGTAGGGATAGCATCTAGGGATTGTCTTGAGGTCTGGATTTACAACAGATATATCATGTGTGCTGATTATGTGTTTCCGTTGTGTGCTGTGAATTTATTATGATTTCTTCAAGGTCTAACACTTGTCTATGATGCAACAGAAGCGTTCAACAGCCACCCTTATCTCGCAAGGACCAAGAGGAGCAGGCACGGAGGTGTGAGTTTGTTCAAGGATTGCTCATGTCGACTATTCTTGATGATTTATGAGATAGAAGAGTGTAGTGGGAGTTGTGGAAGTGATAAGTTATTAGGAGCAGAGCGCAGAGCGTAAGTAATACGAGAGGGAAGAAAGTGGTGCTATTTATGTAACAATCGGTAAGAGTTAGATGATAACAACAACAGCTATGTATTCGTAATGTACTCGGACCTTGATGTGTATAATGAAAATATGGAATAATTTATCCACTCTCTGCGTTTGCCTTCTTTCTTGTACATTTTCTTGATAGCTACAAACTCGAAAGGAATGGTGACACTTTAGGTTAGATATGGCATAGGGGCACTTGAGGCTCGTTAGTGGACTGCGATTGGATTTGAGTGGAGGTCTTAATGTCACCGGTGATGGTTTGCAACTTTTTTTTTTTTTTTTTCCATAAATAGTTTTGCATGGATTTTCTGCGTTGGGTGTGCGGGGAGGGGGATGTGAGGATTTGAGCCTCTTCTACTAGATTGGCTTCAATTATTATGTTCTCTGCTTGCACTCCTTTGATTTTTTGTCAATTGATTTCATTTGATTTAGTTCACTATTAAGAGTAGAACAAGAGAGATGAGTGCACGTGGACGTGGAGCAAAGGAGGAAATGTAGAATTACCACTTGCTGGAAATTATAATCGGACGTAAAAACCAAACGACATTTTAGTGAATTCTAAAACCACGTTATTCTAACAAATTCCTAAAACTTCTTAAAACTACGGCGGCAAGCCACATATGTTGTAGTTAATTTCCTCCATTGGTTTATACAAGGATTTAACTTAAGTGGTAGTTTGTGGTACCAAATAGTAGTATTATTCAAGCTTGCTTTTAGGGTGGGTTGCCAGCTTCATGTTTTAGAAGCCTTAAGGCTCGGCGTTCTGCCCCCCAAGAGTAATGCAAAATCAATCAACTTTTTCAACTATATTTGTAAATCATGTGATGTGTCGCAAATACGAAATAAGCACGTTAATCAATATTTAAGTAATAATCTAATCATCAACAACCACGTCACATGGTCTACAAAATACAGTTTTCCTAGCTTTACCCTTAGCGTAACCATAACCCTACTAAACGTTTAGTCTATGACTAGCATAAATGTCCATCTTTCAAAACTTCAACAGGGAAATAGAAAATGCTGCACGATGGCAGAGGCCTCGTGCCATGGAAGTCCCACTTCACAGTGAGTTGTTCTTTCCGCCGTATTCGCATGAACTAATGAACACTAATATTATACTTGAAATGGAAAGAACGAGCTGACTTTCCAAATCGGGCTTGGCCTAGATTTGACAATATACCCTGCTCTCAATTTCCTTTCCCAATTTATTGGCTTGTCTCTCTTTTATGGAATGGAAGGAAACATGCAGATCAGACTTGGAGAGTTTGAACTTTGAATGCTGGTCTTATAACAAGTCCCCTGGATAACACTCCCATGTGCACCCATCGAGATCCTAGACCCGTCCAGGCGTAGGGCAGGCACGGGAGAAACTTACCAATAACTAGGATGTCACCGTGACAATATTCCAAGAAAATCACGCATGACAATGCATGATTAGCTTAGAATACTACTACAACATCCCAATTGCATGGAAGTCCTTCACAGCAGGCACATACGATGTGCCATCAGGATAGAGCATGAATGCAAGGACACAACCAAATTGTTCATCATAACTCACTGCTACTCTGCTATAAGATCACATTATACATTAACAAAACATGTTCGCGTTGAACTTTACTGCTAATTCATACACGGTGTGATTAAACATACTAAACAAAAGGCACCTCTACATACAGAGATAAGTTAAACATATTTTCATCATCATCTAAATAGTAATTGAAAAATTGTCAACATCTACTTACTTGTTCCTGAATCCTCAGAGATCATCACCCTAAACCGCCAAATTGTGGAAAGCAAATAGACTAAGAGTCGTCATCATAATGCCTGATGCAATACATGATGCCCGTTCTGAAGCACACTTCCCATATTAAAAGGCCTTTATTAACGATAATTTCATCACTATTCTTCTTTCAGCCTATCAAAGCCCTCACAAAGCCAAAATCACTCTTAATCCTCCTTTGATGATAATATAAGATATCAAGGGCCAAGTCTGTAATATAACGACAGGAGTGCGAACTGACATCCAACCGATAACATGAAAAACTGGCCCGTGAAAAGGGTTTTTGTCATCAGTAGGTTATATCCCTTTTACATTGGGATGATAACTGCAAGCTGATTAGAGATAATTCTCCTTCTCACCTCTTTGGAATGCTGTGCGACACAAAGAAATTGAAATCAGGATGATGAACTTGCAATTGCCTGAGCCAGTTGTCAGCTGCTCGCAATAGAGAATCAGCCTTTTGACATTCATAAACTCCATTAGAATTCCAAAAGGGAACTTTGAACTTGTACGAAGCAAGCCCAAAGATTGGCAGTGATAGTTTGAAATTGGCACTTTGATTGTCTCTAGCTCGTGGACCACCAAACTGAAGCCTATCAGTGCTTGCACCTGTTCCGAGCAACATGATATATTATAATGTGATTTGCAAAACAAGCAAGTGCATGAATGCACACAAATCTATAATACATATGTAAAGAGAGATAGAGAGAGATGTACCCTTTGTGGGAGTTGATACGAAATGAAAGGTCAAGAAGCAGGCATCGAGGCTCTGCAAAGTTGGACCTGTAGGTATCCTATATATTGGATACCTTTAACAAAAATATACACAGCTACTATTTTAGATTTCTGATTACATATGTACCAATGCTGTGCTTAGTAAAATAAAGCATACCATGCTACAGAAATCCAACTAGAAGGTGATAAATCACAGCTCCTGTAAGTCCTCAGCTCTGGAAATTGAGATGCAAGAAATGAGATCTGTTGGAAGGTAGCGATGAGTGCATGTCACCATCAAACTCATGAAAGAAAAAGGAAAACTCAACGCATGAAGTGTTCTGAGACGATGAGTGACTTACCTTATCAGCCAAAGGTTCACGACCAAATGGTTGATCATGCTCCATATATTGAAAGATAAGTTGACCAGGAGGGTTGCAAGCCTCACCACTTTCATCACTTGAGGAACCATTTAAGGGTTCAGTTCTCGGTACGGTTTTATTCCAACCATGGCCATTTACATCTGTAGCATTCTGCCAACCTAAAGTACCATAAGGAACATTGTTGAATCCTCTTTCTGTTCCATAATCACTGCTGCCATCACTACTTGTCTCCCTGGATGACTCAGCATCACTCTCATCACCAGGCCTCCAGTAATAACATGCACACGAGTGGAAAATTATGTTATACAAACAGTTACTAGCCAACAGATTGATTTCATCTGAGTGAACATTGAGTTTGTGTACCTCTGTGCACAAACTCACAGCTGATAGCTATTAGCATATTTCTCTAAAGCATCAAAATATAAAGTTCAAACTAGCTATTAGCATGCATGGAGCCTTGCACACAATTTCTCTCATAGATGACAAAGGTAGGTAATTGTTTGGAACCAGGACTCGCATGTTTCACTAAAGAAAGGAAAATGCAGTTCAAACTAGTTACTATCATGTAACTCCGTGCAAAATTTTGCTAATTCAAGTTGAGATTCAGCCACATATCATCAGACATCTCACCCCAACACCAAGTAACACCATATCTAAATACACTACCATGCATTATGTCAAAGATCTTGTCACCCATTGCCTACAAGATGTCTACTGACGACTCAACCAACAGCACTCCACTACTATATTTCGTCCTTCACAACCTATCTTCACAATATATCTTTCCACTGTATACTACCACAGCCATTTTTTTCAACACAGCTTGATAAGAAGACATTTCCTATCCTCATATAATGTAAGCCGTAACTACAAGCAGATAAAAATTGTAACCCAATCAACCAAGTTGTATCTGAAATCTCCTTGATCACTCCAAATGAGAAATCAAGTGAAAGGACCAGTAAATGAGGACATAGAATTTACAAGATATAGTAACACACAGCGCATGAGATTACTTAAGTGTAGGTCTGTCTTATTATCAGGTAAACTAAATCTCGGAGTGCACACTGACAGGAATCCAAAACTGATCACAGCAGAATCCATCTGCTTCACTTCACTAAATTCAATTTTTTTTTTCCGACAGTTTCCCCGCGTAATGAAATTCATGTCAAAACCCATAAGTTAAAAATGAGCAGCAACATCAAAACATAAATTACTCACCTTATTCTCGTTGAGGACTTTGATGGGTCTACATAGAGCTGAATAGCGGACAAGTAAGGAACATAGTACTGGATAACAGAGTCACTCCCATTCAACAAAAGAGGGACACCTGCACCGTACGCGCTCCACTCCTTGAAAGATTCCCATAAATCTCCAAGCACAAAGTATGGATGTAATTCTGCCTCGCGACTCCTCCATCCCCTCACACTTGTCTATCCATCACCAAATGGAAACACATGAGAACCACTTCTACAACAATTACAGAAACAATGCACCGAAACCCAAAGCAAGAAATTAAAAGTTGAAAACTTTATTTCAAGTTTGATAGGAGCTTAATTTAGAGGGTTTTTACTGATAAAGATAGCAAATTTTAAAATTCTCAGCAATGCCATATACCCAAAATTTCAATCTCTTCAATTTTCATGAAACACCAAATAAAGTTTCAAAAACTTCAAAATTGATTTTGTAATACCTTGGAAAAATACTGAGCCGCAACCACAGGTGTGGTGTACTCCAAAAACCGATCCAAATTCGTAGCATCACCCGAACCGGAACTGTAAGAAGTCTCACAGTCATCTGAATCCACCGACTGCCTCTGATGCTTCTCCTCCTCTAGCTTTTTTCTCTGCTGCTGCTGCCGTATAGCTGGCGGGTTGTAGAAGCGATTATCTCCCCGAATCCGAGCAATCGAAACGCCTGACATTGGGGAAAACCGGATTCAGTAGAAGGGATGTATTGGGTGAAACTGTTTCGAGAGCAGACGGTCGGCCGAAGGGATTTTGTTCTAGGGAAAACGAAGAGTCCAGAACAGCTTGTGGTCTTGTGGGGCTCGTTCCAGAAGAACTCTGTGCATACGATGGCAGTGAAATTACCACATTGTCCTTTCTTGTTTGAAATTGACGTACTTGTCCCGGTCCAAGTGTAAACTGGAATGGAAATGTTTAGGTTTTCCTGATTTGTGCGAATCTATCCTCGGATGCGTTTGTAAGGGCAAGTGGGTGGGCCTGACCAGTCCAATTTATGTGGGCCTTAAACCGGCCCATTAAAAGACTTGATCGCCCCTTGATTTTATAAATAACACAGAGCTTTAGGCAGGAAGATTTTGGTGGGCGTCAATTGTGAGGTTTCCAACACTCATTATTGTCCTTATTGTGTGAGTTGCCAAGTGGTTTGCAAGAAAAATGAAGTCAGATTTTTAAGAGAAATTTTATTTGAATTCATCTAACTTTTTTCTACATCTAATTTATTCTCTTAATTCATATTATTTTTTATTAAAGAATTAATATCTCTTTAAATCCAAATTTATTACTAAAATACCCTCTCAAACCCAATTCAAAATGTAAAATTATCTTTACACCCATTATCTTTATAAAATAACATTTCTAATTGAATGTTTTTTTTTTTGTTTTTTTCAAAGAGGTTTTTTTTGCCTTTCTATAATGGCATATGCCATATAGGACTAGTATTTCCATGGCTGCTTTTTTTCTTTCTGCTACCACAATCCATCCATGGACTTGAGATCCAAGAGATCATTCCATATGCTTGAATTTGCGAAGAGAATGTTATGCAAGCTCCAGTTCAGTCCTTTTCAAATGAGCATTTTCATGTACTTTTTAAGAAACTTTGAAGTGACATAGGGCTGAGTGCTTTGCTGCTATGTTAATAAACAAATTGGAGCTATTTCGAATAAAAAAGGTGCAAGACATGCCACTGCTAGTTCGTGGTTAAGGTTGAGCAATCTTTATTTGCACCAAGAATCAAGTTTTATGTCTTTGCAGTACTAATCAAAAGTCCTTGTACTGGTGTTTTGGGGAGCATACAGACGGCAGAGAAAAACAAATACAATATAATGTAAAAAATATGAAATTTAATCCAAAGAAGAAGCAAACAAATAAAATATCCATAAATCGAGTCATATCTTAGTTGGAGGATTAAAAACTTCAAAATCACCATCAATCAATAGAAAAGCTTGTTTTTCTCTATCAGAGCTATTAGGGTTTTAGTTGGAATGAATGTAGGAGGATAAACAAAGGGTGATGTTAGGGTTTAATTTTAGTATGTGAGTCTATTGATAAATTTGATTTTTATTATTCATTTCATTTTGTACTGAATAATAATTATGCAATAGGATAAAATAGACAATTAACATTTAAAATTTAAGTTGGGTGTAAAAAAATGTTAAATAGGTTTAAATAAAATTTATCATCCTCTAATTACATTAACACATTGCGTCATATGGTACATAAGATTCACTTGTTACATCAATTGATGTAGTTAGAAAATATGATGCTTTAAAATAATCGTTTTATGTGTGCGAGAGGAATCACTTGTGAATTGTAGGTCTTTGTCGTATAGCAGTCGGGTCAACTCATTTAGCGTCAACAAGTTAATTATATACTTTATCATGATCATTAAATTGGTAATTAACGTAAGCTTTATGGTACTACGGCGGGTTAGCTCAAGTAGTTAGAAATTTAAAGACTCTTAACATTATTCATTAGTGGTATACGTTTATCAATATTACAATGTTTTAGTAATTGATAAATGTTATATCGGTAATTCATATGTATAGTTGCGGAGTCAGAAATTCATGTTAGGAAATGCACACTTTAGATCAAAATGGACATAATATATATAGAAACTAACTCATTCTTTGGTCGCTTTGGTATCAAATTCAAAGGTGAGAGTGATCATGCATTTATTCTTCATTATACATGGTCAACTATATCAAGAGTTGAAAATAAAACATGATTAAAAGCACATCCTTTTATTCTTCAGTCTTGATATCAAATTCAAAGGTAGATCATGCATTTATTTTTTCTCATAGTGACCAAGAGAACATTTTTCTAAAAACATTAAGGCACGAGAGCATTTGAAGGGTTTTTTGTGCTAATTTGAAAAAAAGGAAATATTTTTCTCTTCTTGATTTCATATATAATATAATAGAGGAAAATGAGAAATTAACCAAAATAATGGTCTGCAAGCAAAGAGAAAAATTGTAAATAGGTAACAAACAGAGAATATGATCAACTAATATTAGTCTAGAACTATAGTTTCAAACTTTTAATATAAAAAATTTAAAGCTTTTTATTTATTGGATTGAAATTAATTGGACTAACCAATACAATTACAACTTCAAGTTTATAGTGGTAATTAATGATAGTAGAGGTTGTCACGAAAAAATAATTTGAGGATAGCCCGAGCCTACCCTAGTCTTAGACCATCTCCAACTCTGGGCTAAAAGTCAAATTACCCCCCAAATTACCCCCCCAAACACTCTCCAACCCATGCTAAAATTTTAGGCTAAATGCCAAATGCTATTTCTGGGTCAAATACCCCCCAGCTTTCCCCCCGGGCTAAATGCGAAATGTTTATCGGAATTTATTTTTTTTTAGATTAAAATGTTCATAAAATTAATTTACAATAATCTACATATTTATTTTTTTAATAAAAATTGATTTAAGAAAAAAATTTAGGCTAATTTCATTCTTTAATAATTCTGGGCTAAAATTTTAGGGTAGAAGGATTGGAGCAGAAAAGATGTTTCTGGGCTAAAAGCTAAATTTTCCGGGTTAAAAAATTTGGCTTTTAGCCCAAGGGTTGGAGATGGTCTTAGGGTGGCTCCGCCACTGCATATGTAGTTAGAAAATGTAGTGCTTTAAATTAATCGTGAATCATATGGTGGATGACATATATTTGTTTTATTATATAAGTTATTATGATCTTTAGGTGATTGATATTCTCTCTTAAAAAAATCATTATGTGATCAATATGAATTACATATATAAGTTGGGTCACATATAGTTATAAAATGAAGCCTTAACATTATTCATTAAACAAATTGGATTTGGACACGTGTTCAAATAATTGAAATTATAAACACAAATTGGACATGTATTCAAATTTGATTGGATGAAAATAGAAGTGGCTACTGAATTTTCAGCAGCAAAGTATTATTCTAAAAAGAAACATACAAACATATCATCAAATCCATGATTTTATTTTTATTCATTTGCAAATGTAAGGAAATACAATATTCACTCTTCAATCAAAAGCTCCCATTACAAGCCAACATAGCGTTTCGGAAGTTAAAAAAAAAAAAGGAATGAAAACCACACAATTTTTTATGCCAAAGATGACATAGAGTTTTGATCAAGATAACTTAGAAAATCATTGAAGCAGCAGAAGAATTTAGTTGTAGGCATCCTGATGCTCCAAGAGGTAGTTCTCAATCAACTTAAAGAGGTGGGAGGCCTTCTCTTTGCCAGCCTTAACATGCTCTTCCTTGATCTCAACATCACCTTTGGTGTGGTAGTGGCTGGTGCTCTTGATGACGGAACCGCTGCTGGCAGCAACCAACTTAGTCTCATAAGAGATCTTCTCAATTGTCTCAGAGATAGCATCTCCTTCGATCACACTGTACTTGTAGACAAAGTTGTCCTTGTCAACCCCATCAATTCTGTGCTTCACATAGCTGTATGTGCTACCTTCACCGAAGTTGATCTTCTTAATGGTTCCAACTCCTCCATCTCCTTCAAGGATTTCAGCGCTCTTCACTGCTTGTGGTGCAATCTTGGGGATGAGGTTGTCAGCATCAAGAACAAAGGCATTGAACAACCTAGCAGGGGGGATGACAGAGGTGAACTCGGATTCGTATGTGAAAACACCCATGATTCTGAGAAGTGTTTGGAAAGTAAGAAAATAAAAATTGATGAATAGGAAGATGATGTAATGGGAGGTTTTGAGTTGTGAAGAAGTGAGGGAGCAGGTATGGTATTTATAGGGTGAGGCTGAAGGTTGATCAAAACGTTTTATTATGCAAGTTCCTGCTTGGTTCTATGCATTTACGTGGGAACCATTACTTTTTCTACATGAAATTTTGTATTTTAGTCAAGGGGAAGGGAAGGACCATCTGGATATTGAAAAAGAAAATACCCAATTAATCACGAGGTCGAGTAACCTCAATTATTTTCCCGTCTGCACAATGAGATTCCATTTGATAATAAACAATAGTATGAACATGCACGAACCGTGTGGGACTCCTAATAATTCAATTTTCGTTGTCCACTACTGTACAGGTTAATGTTTTGAGTCATTTCCATTTGGCTGTGTGCTTAAATAGGTTAAAATGGACGAGGACTGTGCATTGGGATAACAGTTGAAATTATTTTGAGGCATTTCCATTAGGAGATGTGATAACCTACAGGAAAACGGAGGGCAACCAATGTTGACAAATTGCAACTAGCCAATGTTGAATGCAAGTCAAGTCCCCCTACTTTGAACTTCTGGAGTTTGACCAAAAAAAGAAATTGAACTTCTGGAAGTGTATACTAACTAATTAACCTCCGTAAAATTTATTGGAAAGGTTAACTACTTGGTTCATTTTTATGTTAGGGTGTTTTTGATATAGTCTGTATTAAGGTTTTCTAGTAGGATAAGAATTATGATTACTTTCCCATCTGTAATCAAGGTTTAAGATTGCTTTATTATTTGTTTTAGAAGCTTATGTTTCTGGGTTCAATGAGACTTTGAAAGTTTTAAGTGTCATTCAATAAATGTTAGCCTGGTATCATTTTTTTTTGGGTTTTTATTACAATTTGTCTATTAAATGGTTAATTAGTTTTAGGCTGGTATCAATTTTTTTTTGGGTTTTTATTACAAATGGTCCCTGAAATCGGCCTAACTCATCATATTGGTCATTCAATTTGAAAATCAATCAATGTCTTTCCTGAAATTAACTACCGCAAATCAACTTGGTCCATGCCGTTTAATCTGTAAAGTTTTCTATTAGTTTGCTGACAGAGCATACAAGTAGAGCCCCCATGTCTAATTAAGTAGTGCCATGTGGAAAAATCTATAAAACCATAAAAAGACAATTTAAAAACCCATAAAAAAAACTACCCAAAACTAAAAAAGAAAAAAAAAAGAAAAAAAAGAAAAAGAAGATGAAGCAGGCAACATCATCGTCTTCCTAAGATCCCACAACCCAGCCACCACTTATGCTAGATCCCAACCAGCAACCACTCCTTCTAAATCCCAACCACCAGCCACAACCCCTTGATTCTTTGGCTCCGTTCGTTGAGCAGTTGGCTCGACCAGCCACCCATTCTCCCTCCGCATATCCTTCCATCGACCAGGCAACGGCGTAGCCCGTGTGCTGATGCGACGCGTCTTCTATCCGTCGATCTACTTATAACGCCGCTTGCAATTTCGTTCTCTTTCTGCAACACCCACGTTGCTCCTCTTGAACCCATATTCTTGCTTTCTCCACTCTTTTACAGCAACACACACTCTCACACTGAGTTCTTGGAAGGGCTCTGCAACTACGTTGCCAGAATGAGGAGCAAAAGACGCCTCTCAGACTGAATTTTTTTTAGTTATTTTATTTGGCTAAATAATAATACATGGCACTAAATCATTGGTTGTGTTGGCCACATGTGTGCTACGTCAGCAAACTAACGGAAAACTTGACGGAATTAAACGGCAAGGACCAAGTTGATTTGTGGTAGGCAATTTCAGAAACTACATTGATTGATTTTCAATTTCAGAGACCATCTTGATGACGAGGGTTAATTTCAAAGATCATTTGTGTTAAAAACCTTCTTTTTTTTCTGTCAATAGATTTGGTCGTACCACACCTTTGCTTTTGTCACAAAAATGCATTCTTTTTTACTTTAGAATTCCATTTTTAATGAGATCTACAGATATGAAGAATTTTATTGACATTAACGTGGGCATAGTCATATCTATTAATGTTGATGTGCTCACTTCTATGCATTCGAGGTCAACTAATTTAGGTCTACTACAATTTTTTTAATGGAACGACATATTTCATTCGTGAAGGAGCAAATACATACAATATTTACATAAACCAAGAACATGACCCAAAATGGGGTACTAACAAAGATCTGAAAATATATATACAAAAGAATAATCTCATCATATGTTGCAAGACAATGCTGGAAGAGACAAAGAATTCATAGAAACCAGTGCATGCAAGGTCCTGCCAACTTAGTTAGAAAACTAAAAGCATTAACATTATTCATTAGTAGTTGGGTCAACTAATGCAAGAAGACCGTACGACACACACACACACATATATATATGTGTGTGTATTCATTTGTCACACCATGATAATTGTAAAATGTTGTATAGTTTATGTCAACTCGTGTAGTTAGAAAATATGATGCTTTAAATTGATCGCGTATTAGGTGATAAATAAGATTGATGTTTTGTTTTCTTAAATTAGTTATTTGTGATCTTTTGGTGTGATTGACATAACTTGTCATGTAGAATAATAGAAGGCAAGTTAGAAAAATGAAAATTGAACATTATTTGTTAACACGGTGAAACTTGAAAATATATCATCAAATATGATGTTCTTCTTATTTATTTGTAAATCAAAGGAAATACAATATTCACTCTTCACTCAGAAGCTCCAATTACAAGCCAAAACACTGTTTCAAAACTTAAAAGAAAAAGGGAATGAAAACCACACCGGTACATTGGATGATGCCAAAGATCACACAACTACTTATTGGTACTTTTTGCGGCAGCATGTAATATTAATTTAGTTGTAGGCATCCTGATTCTCCAAGAGGTAGTTCTCAATCAACTTGAAGAGGTGGGAGGCCTTCTCTTTGCCAGCCTTAACGTGCTCTTCCTTGATCTCAACATCACCCTTGGTATGGTAGTGGCTGGTGCTCTTAATGACAGAACCGCTGCCGGAAGCAACCAACTTAGTCTCATAAGAGATCTTCTCTATTGTCTCAGAGATAGCATCTCCTTCGATCACACTGTACTTGTAGACAAAGTTGTCCTTGTCAACCCCATCAATTCTGTGCTTCACGTAGCTGTATGTGCTACCTTCACCGAAGTTGATCTTCTTAATAGTTCCAACTCCGCCATCTCCTTCAAGGATCTCAGCGCTCTTCACTGCTTGTGGTGCAATCTTGGGGATGAGGTTGTCAGCATCAAGAACAAAGGCATTGAACAACCTAGCAGGGGGGATGATAGAGGTGAACTCGGATTCGTATGTGAAAACACCCATGATTCTGAGAAGTGTTTGGAAAGTAGGAAAATAGGAAATTGATGAAGAGGAAGATGATGTAATGGGAGGTTTTGAGTTGTGAAGAAGTGTGGGAGGAGGTATGGTATTTATAGAGTGAGGCTGAAGGTTGATCAAAAGGTTTTATTATGCAAGTTCCTGGTTGGTTCTATTTCATTAACGTGGGAACCATTACTTTTCCGACATGGAATTTTGTATTTTAGTTAAGGGGAAGGGAACGACCAACAGGATATTGAATAAGAAATTACCCAATTAATCACGAGGTCGACTAACCTCAATTATTTACATTGGTTTGCACTATTAGATTCCATTTGATGATAAACAATAGTATGAATGAATCATGTGGAACTTCTAATAATTCAATTTTTGTTGTCTACTACTGTATAGTTGAATATTATGAGTCATTTCCATTTGGCTGTGTGCTTAAATTGGTTAAAATGGACGAGGACTGTGCATTGGTATAACAGCAGGAATTATTTTGAGCCATTTCCATTTGGAGATGTGAAAGCCTAAACCATAAAGGTGGGCAATTAATGTCGACAAATTGCAACTAGCCAATGTTGAAATGCAAGTCAAGTCCCCCTAATTTGAACTTCTGGAGTTTGACCAAAAAGGATTTTTGAACTTCTGGAAGTGCATACATTTGTAAGATACGTAACAATACTATAACTAATTAACCTCCGTAAAATTTATTGGAAAAGTTAACAACTTGGTTCATTTTTATGTTAGGGTGTTTTTGATATGGTTTGTATTAAGGTTTACTAGTTGGATAAGTATTATGATTACTTTCCCATCTGTAATCAAGGTTTAAGATTGGTTTATTATTTGTTTTAGTAAATCAGGTGTTTGTAAGTACATCTCTTGTAACTTTGTAGGTATCAAGTCTTAGCAAGATTGTAATTTGTTCGTTATGTAGTATGCTTGTCAATTTGTAGTATTCTTCTTTCTTGTATGTCTATGGAATAACATTTTGTGTTTTTCAATAATTTTTTTTTTGTCCTTTGATTTGTATACTAAATTTCCTATTGCATTGATATTCCTTTATGCAATGTATGCAACTATTGTTAAAGAGCCAATCTCGCGTAATTCTTTTTCACTGTTAAAAATAAATATATGTCAACAGCTAATTACATGCTTGTGAAGCTTACAATGTTGCAATTACTCCTTCATGAATACGTACAAGATTTATATAGATCAAGAACATGACCCAAGAGGGGTTACTAACAAAGATCTGAAAGTATATGCAAGAGTAATCGCATATGTTACAAGACAATGCTGAAAGAGAGAATTCACAAAAACCAATGCCCTTAGGCTCTAACCAATCCAGTCAAATGGTCATAGGCCAAAATATAGTCCGTTTTGACACGAAAGTCGTCTCCAACCGAGAACTAGGCTAAAGAGCTTGTGGGCCTCACTTGACCAAAAATTAGACACCAGGCCAGGGGCTGGCCAAAATAAGCCAGCCAACTAGCCCGATGCAGCAGCCCAAACACCAGACAAGTTCCATCCTTAATCACATGTCGATTCAAAGAAACAATATTGCAGCAGAACCTCTTCTTAAGTGATGCATCAACTTAATTAATTAAAACAGATTTAGCAAAAAGTTAATTAATTAATTATCTCTTCTTTTCGTACACAAAATAAACACTTTAATTGCATATTTTGCAAGTAATCCCATCCCCAGTATTGCCTATTAAAATTTCATAATATTATATATATATATATATATATATATTTTTTTTTTCTTCTTCTTATATTATGTATTTTTTTAGTATATTATCTTATGTACTTTTGCAAAAAGAATTATACCATGCATGTGGACGGACTAATAATTAAACCTTAATTTGGGCTTAAAAAAATAATGATACAACCAGGACGCATGCAAGAGCCAAAATATCGTTGGGGTTGGTTGATTTAGGTACAACCTTTTTTATTATTGGTTGGTTATTGTTTGGAGGTTCTTTTCGTTATAGAACATATTAAAAAATAGCATCCTTCGGTTAGAGATGAATTTTTTTGTCAAATGACTATGTTTTAGTCTATAATCCTTTGATCCATTCGGTTAAAGATAATATAAAATATGATCGTTTATTAAAAAATAATTTCTTATAAAACTATAAAACAAAATATGACCCTTGGCCCTCTCTCCATTGACGGTGGCCATCGTGACAACTTGGGTAGTTAGAAAACAAAAGCATTAAATTCATTAGTAGTTGGGTCAACTCATGCAAAGGGACCGTATGACATGTGTATACATTCATCTGTCATACCATGATAACTGTAAATGTTATAATTGTTACGTCAACTCGTGCGGTTATAAAATATGATGCTTTAAATTGATCGCGTATTAGGTGGTAGAATAAGATTCATTTGTTTTCTTAAATTAGTTATTGTGTGATCTTTCAGTGTAATTGACATGACATGTCACATAGAATAATAGAAGTCAAGATAGAAAAATGAAAAATGAACATTATTCATTACCACGGTGCATAAAAAGAAATTTGAAAATATATCATCAAATATGATTTTCTTCTTATTTATTTGTAAAGGAAAGGAAACACAATATTCACTCCACTCAGAAGCTCCAATCACAAGCCAAAACACTGTTTCAAAACTTAAAAGAAAAAGGGAATGAAAACCACACATTGTTTGATGCCACACGAGGACACAACTACTTAATAATACTTTTTGTGGTAGCAGGCAATATTAATCTAGTTGTAGGCGTCCTTGTGCTCCAAGAGGTAGTTCTCAATCAATTTGAAGAGGTGGGAGGCCTTCTCTTTGCCAGCCTTAACATGCTCTTCCTTGATCTCAACGTCACCCTTCGTGTGGTAGTGGCTGGTGCTCTTAATGACGGAACCGCTGCCGGAAGCCACCAACTTAGTCTCATAAGAGATCTTCTCAATTGTCTCAGAGATAGCATCTCCTTCAATCACACTGTACTTGTAGACAAAGTTTTCCTTGTCAACCCCATCAATTCTGTGCTTCACGTAGCTGTATGTGCTACCTTCACCAAAGTTGATCTTCTTAATAGTTCCAACTCCACCATCTCCTTCAAGGATCTCAGCGCTCTTCACTGCTTGTGGTGCAATCTTTGGGATGAGGTTGTCAGCATCAAGAACAAAGGCATTGAACAACCTAGCAGGGGGAATGACGGAGGTGAACTCAGATTCGTATATGAAAACACCCATGATTCTAAGATGCGTTTGGGAAGTGAGGAAAAACTAATTGATAAAGAGGAAGACCGAGGAAGAAAGATGATGTATTGGGAGGTTTTGAGGTGTGAATAGCTGAAGAGGAGGTATGGTATTTATAGGCCGAGGCTGCCTGAAGGTGGATGAATAGGTTTATGCCATTTCCTTATTTTTTAAATTGGTTCATTGTGACGTGGGAACCATTACTTTTCTACATGGAATTAATGTTTGTATTTTAGTCAAGAGAAGAACCATCTGCTAATTGAATAAAAAAAATATAGCCATTTAATCCACGAGCTTAATTATTTCTATCCCACTGTTTTATATTGAAGTTATAATTTTGCATTTGCATGCAATGAGTGCTTCAGAGATGACCACATTCTCTGACATTGTAGCTACTTTTACACTTTCTGTGAAAACCAGAGCATAGAAATTGGAATTCATTTTAGTAATCAAGGTTCTAAAAAACGTTAGGCGCTAGTTGGGCGGCGGGTTAGCGCTTAGCGCCTAGGCAGCTAGGCAGGGTTTAGGCGGGTGCCTAGACGGCCTAGGTGGATTTAGGTAAATTTCATGTATATCTTGTAAATAAGTGCTTATTAACACTTACAAAAAATTATACTTGTATGAAATCCATGGATAAGATAATAAAAGAATGATAAAATGCAAAAAGAGTATCCAACAAGTCCAAAATTTAAAAACATATTAAGCATATATGCCATATAATCATAGTGAGGAGTATTGTAAGATGACACATGTACAATAAGTTCACAATTTAAAACCACATAAAATGCAAAATAGGAGGAAAATAAGGAAATATAGTAATGTAGATAGGATTTTTTTTATTTTTTAATTTAAAAAAATAAATAAATAAAAAACCGCCTAGCACCGCCTAGTGCCTATCCCGCCTAGGGCCGCCTAGAGCCTAACCGATTTTTCCAATCAATTTGCAAAAAAATACCTCGAGTCACAACCGCCTAGGCCATTTTTTAGAACATCGTCAGTAATTGATTAAGCTTATTCCTTTACTATCTTTTTCAGTCCAAAACTGATACTTGGGTCTCAATCAACAATGACTGCCATGGGCTATGAATTCAATAATTCTGATAAAGTGAACACTTCACATTCTCTTCCATTCCAGTTAGCCATTCTGATGGTAGAAATTTCAATTAATCTGCCGACCATCTCACCTTAATTGAGGCAGGGCTAGCTTATCCTCTAATCATTTCATATCGTATAACAAAAAATATCAGACGAGACTACAAAATAACTTCGTTCTTTGTTGGGTATTGAGATTTGAAACCAAGTTGGGCCGTTTTGTTGTCTCCTATATTTGTCTAATTTTGTATTCACGATCAACATGGTCATTGGCTGTGTAGTTAATAATTACGAGGTGAATTTGGACTTGTTATAATTGAACGTTTTGATATTGCCCCCATACAAAATGATGGGCAATCAATGTTGACCCAATGCAGCCATATGTTGAAATACAATTCAAGTAGCCTAATTTGAACTTCTGGAAGTGCATACTAGTTGTAATGTGGTAGGGACAACAATATATGAAGCAGACAGCAATTTTGTAAAACAAAGGTTTCATCAATTGGGCATTAGACACCAATTCATTTTGAATAATACTTGGGTACTCACCTTTTAATTTTGTCCAATGATATTTTGAAATATTGTATTATTTTTGATAAATAATGGACATGTTATTTAATTTTTTTTTTTGGGCTTTGGAAAAAAGGAACACGTGACATTTTTTTTTATTAACCAAGTCAGAAAGTGAGTACATCAATACTTACTAGTGAGTATCTAAGTATTATGCATTCATTCCATCCCCATCAGTGTACTAATTAACCTCAGTAAATTACATTCATACTGTTTCA